TTCTGTGTGTGTGTGTGTCTCTCTCTCTCTCTGCCCCTCCCCTGATCATGCTTTGTCTGTCTCCCTCAAAAAAATAACCATTAAAAAAAAAATTTTAACCATTACGTTTGGCTGTCTCATCCCTCACACCCCCACCCCCAACCCCAGTGCTCTGAATCTACCATAAAATGACCTAACTGATCACCCATCACCCCACCACCCCACTCCCACCATTTGCCAGCTCCTTCTGTACCTCCCACCACTTTGCTTTGCTCCTCCACAGTCCTGCCTATTTCCATCGGGGCTCATTTCCTCCCAGTGGGTCTCTCATTTGTCACCCCCTCTCTGGTCACTCCTCAGTTTTGTGTTTACTCAGCCCCTGAGTCTGCACTCTGGAAGTGTACTGTGGTCCCACCATGGGGCTGCCCCAGACACAGAGGAGTCGCTGAGTCTTGGAGCAAGGAGCTTAGTGATCAGTTACCCTCTTGCTCTTACAGAGGAGGAACTGACACCCCAAGGGATCCCTTAGAAAATTGGCAACTAAGCCAGGACTAGGGTGTAGAATTTCTCATCTCTGATCCTAGTTCTCCTCCACCCCACTTCGTTTTCCTGGAAAAGATTTCCCTACTGGCTCTATCATCCAGCAGTACCCTACCCTCAGTACTGCTTTTGTCCTCCTAGAAAGAGAAGATCATGTCGCATACATACTAAGTTACAATTTCTTTTTAAAGCCTCCATCTGGAATTTAAAGGACCCGTGTTCTAGTCCTGGCTGGCTTGTCTCCTGGAACAAGCATCTCCGATCACTCAAAGATGGGTGCCTCTGCTCGGCTGTTCTCTGGCACCTGCCTGTGCCATGCATTCACTCCATCCAAGAGTGTGGAGGTAGGGTTAGACCTGCTCTGGTGTCCTGCTTCCCTAACTCGTCTACTAGGAGTTGGGGGAGGCAGCCAAGGCTTGTGGGTAGGGGTCTGGCTCACCTTCTCCTGGATACTGGTGTTGAGCCTCCTCAGTGTCTCCTGGAAGTTTTGGTTCCGTGGCTCGAGGGTGGCACAGCGCTGCACGTCCTTGAAGGCCTGGTCCAACTTCCCCAGATGCTCCAGCGCCTGGCACCGCCGATAGAGAGCCTTGATGTCCGAGGAGTTGATGTCAATAGCTAATGAGGGAGACGGGGCCTCAGGGGCCTGGGGTGCAGATCGCCTTCCTCCCTCCCCTGCCACTGTCCCCAATTCCAGGGCCACTGTGTCTTCATTGGAGATTATCCACCCATGTGGACTATCTGGCCCCAGGCTCCCTCTTTGTGAGGGAGGCAGTAAGAATTATAGTCTCAAGGGAGGTTAAGGGTCATCGCGTCTAGCTCCTGATATTTCAGTCTCTGCTACATCATGATCCCAGCCAAGCACGCATCCAATGGATACTTGCATACTTCCAGCAATGGGGAGCTCCCTCCTTCTCAAGGCAGCCAGGCAGCTCCATCAAGAAAGCCCTCCCCTCTTCAGACCTGAAATATATCTCCCTGTAACTTTGCCCTCTTATCCTAAGTTCAGCCCTGGAAACCCTGAGATGAAATCCGATCCTTCTTCCTTGTGACAGCCTTTTAGGTGTTTGAAGGCAGCTCTCCATCCCACCTGGGAATTGCTTTCTCTGGGCTAAATATTGCCACGTCCCTCAACTGCTCTTCACAGGGTGTATTTCCAGGCCCATCTCCAGCTGGTTCCCTTCCTTCTGAGCTCACTTCACGCTGTCTCTGTTTCTCCTAAAAGAATGGTGCCCAGATCAAAACCCAACACTTGCAGCTAAGAAAAGACTTCCCATTTTGACAATGCACTTAAGTCAACATTGACTTAAGCGCAAGTTGAAATTAGTTGCATTTAAAGGTTTGCTTTGTTTTAATGTTCTTCTCTCCCTCGTCTGTGCAATGGGCTACTACCTCCCTCCTCCTCTCAGGAAGCCTGATCCCACAGAGTGGAGTGGGCTGATGCCCAGAACCACTGGGGAGCCCCAGGATGAGCATACCCTAGTTTACAACAGAGGGTGTGTCATTACCAAGACACGAGGATTTCTGGAAACATCTTTTAATAAAAGAATCTCCCAAGGGGCACCTGGGTGGCTCAGTCAGTTAGGCATCCAACTTTGGCTCAGGGATGATCACACAGTTCGTGGGTTTGAGCCCCACATCGGGCTCTGTGCTGACAGCTCAGAGCTTGGATCCTGCTTAAGATTCTGTCTGCCCTCTCTGCCCCTCCTGGTTCGCACTTCTCTCTCTCTCTCTCTCATTCTCTATTTTTCTCTCTCTCTCAAAAATAAATAAACATTAAAAAAAAATTTAAGAGGCGCCTGGGTGGCTCAGTCGGCTGAACGTCCAACTTCAGCTCAGGTCATGATCTTGCGGTCCGGGAGTTCAAGCCCTGCATCGGGCTCTGTGCTGATGGCTCGGAGCCTGGAGCCTGCTTTGGATTCTGTGTCTCCCTCTCTCTCTGCCCCTCCACCACTCACGCTCTGACTCTCTCTCTCAAAACCAAACATTAAGAAATTTTTTTTGAAAAAAAAATTTTAATTTCCCTCAACCTATGATTTAATATACAATTCGAGTTGCAAAAATGCAATTTAGGGATGGTTTCTCTGGACATCCGAAGCCCCGCCTACAATGCCTAGGATGGCGTTTCCACAATCTGTCATTTCTTCAATTGACGAAGAGCCTCTTAGACAAAACAGGGATGCTGGGGTTGGGGATGGGGGAGTGGGTGGGGAAAGGGAACTCACCTCTTGAGGCATCTGACGCCGCCTGAACATAGCTTTCCTGAGAAATGGAGAAGAGGAAGCAGCCGGGGTTAATTCAGGCCCAACGCAGAGACAACCAGACAGGGTTTGCTGGGGAGCTGCTGGCTGTCAGGGAACCAAGGGCGGACCCCCCGCTGGGCATGGGAAAGCAGATGAGCTCTGACATTAGGCAAACTTGGGTTTGAATCCAGGCTCTGCTACTAATGACCTGGGAGATCTTGGTGAGTTACTAAGCCCCCCTAGCCCTGAGTTTGTTTTATCTGCTATACGGGCACGGCAACGGCAGCTGACTCACGGGGCTGTCAGTAAGATGCTGCGAAATAACATGGAAAAAGCCCCCGGCGTGATGCCAGTTCCCATTAGGCTGATTCCCAACTGGAGGAATTTCTGTCTCCCAGAGGAGTGGGTCAGGCAGTGGGCCCAGGAAAGCAGTGGGAAAGTGCCCTTCCCTGCCCTGAGGGCTCCAGCAGAAGGGGCTGGGACAAGGGGGCTTAAGGGTCTGATACCCGGCAAGATGGGGGGCTGCCTTCACCCCTGCCTCTGAGTGCTGGCCCTCAGCCTCCCGCCCTGCCCGCTCCAGACCGTTTTCAGGCCACAGGCTGCCCGATTCCGATAGAGCGTGGCCAGCAGGGCCTTGTCCTTGGTCAGCTTCAGGGCCTGGCTGTAGCTCTTTGTTGCAGCCTTATAGTCCTGGAGCTGGAAATGCCGGTTCCCTTCCTCCTTCAGCTGCGCTGCTTCTGCCTCTGCCATCTGTCAGGACAGGAGCAGCTCAGTCTGGCCAGTCCCCCACTCCAGACTCCTGGCCTGAGGTCTGGAGCTCCAGGGCCTCCTTCTACTGGGATGGAAGGTGAGGGTTCTGCCTGGAAAGGACCCATGTCTATCACCCCCAAATCCATTGCTCAGAAGGACATGATAGCACCTGCTTGCAGAATAGCATGGCTGAAGGAACCTTAGAGCCCCCGTGCCTCCCTCTCCTTCCCTCCCAGCTGGGCGGGTGAAGCCACCACGCCGGAGGCCTGAATTCTCACTGCAAGCCTTGAAAGTTCTTCTCAGTCCCTCTTCTCCCTCCCCGGTCTGAGGAACTCTCCACGCGGACTCACTTTCTCAGAGGACGGTGCTCCTGGTCTGTCCTCCTGTGATGCTGTTCAGCTGAGCTCCCTTGTGAGCCACCTCCTGGCCACCAAGCCTTAATCTGCCTCCCTCCCCCACCCAAGAGGTTTTATCGCCCCTGTCAGTAGCTCCAGACCATATTTGGCCACAGGGTCAGGTGTCCCTGGAGTCTGTCATTGATACTCAGGGCCTTCCTCCTCCCCAGAGTGGATAGTCATTAGTCACCTGGAAGTGCTGACTAACCTATGCCCCAGCGTCCTACTCAGGGGCAGTCCTGGACTCGGGCATTCATACCACAAAGAGCAGAGAAAGATCCAGAAGGGAGGGAGACACAGCTATAATGCCCCTTCTCCCCCTCCATCCGAGATAAACAATCTCCCCTCCCTTCCCCCAATCACTGCTATTTTGGGAGCAGAGTGACAGCTGAGGGGCTGGCAGACTTAGAGCAGCTGCCCAGGTCCAGGACCAACTGGAGACTTCCAGAAATGCCCTTCTGGAGGGAGGAGAGTTCCTCCCTCTCTTCCACTTGCCCACAACTCCCCAACCCCTCCAGTACTCATTGTTGAAATGTCCCTCCTTTTCTGAAAGACAGAGGGGCTTACTAGTTCAAGTTTAGTGGAAATGGGTGCTTTGTTTTGGTTTGCATGCCTTCTCCTGTGTCCCCCATCCGTGTGGAGTGGATGCATTCAGCCTACCCCTCCCAGTAGACAGAGAGGGTGGGCTCTTAATGTCCCCCACTAGATTATAGGCTTCTTCTTGGTCAGAGCTAGGTCAGTCTGGAATTCCCTGAGCCCGAGGACCGTACCCCCCCCCCCCATCTACCTGGGATCTCTCCTGGGATCAGCTGAGTCTCCCTCATCAAAAGAGGGTCTTCCTGGGACAAGAAGGAAGAACAAAACAGGTCTCCCCTGGGGCAGGACTTGTTTCTTCTCATCTGACTGAGGGTTCCTGAGACAAATTTGAGTCTGTTCCTACTTGGACTCAGAACTCTCTCACCTCCCAGTGTCTCCAAGCCTAGGCTGTGAGTGCCCTCCCACAGGGTAAAGACAGCATCTCATTGCAGTTTGACTTACCCTGGCACAGAGGCTGGCAGAGTGAGTGCCCAATGCGGGCTTCCTGAATGAATGAATGAATGAATGAATGAATGAATGCATAGTGTCTTCCTGTTGATGCTTTTCTTCACTTATCACAATTCTGCCCCCTCCCCCCATACATCTTCAAACCTACCTGACCATGGCAGAGAAACGCACTGAAGATTCTGCTCTTTGATCGGTAACCTTGGACACACAGCTATGACTGTGGACAAGTTCTACTGTCCTGCTGGACCCAAGGCCCAGCTCTGATGCATATTTGTCTGTTGCAGGTTTGTTGACTGAATAAATGAATGAAGGAATGAATGGAGGAAGGGATTCCCTGCCATCATGGTGTCCTAAACTCTGGGCCCCTTTGTGGGGCAAGTGCTCTTGTAGTAATGAAGCAATGGGATAAAGGATCCTGCCACTGGCAGAAAACTGAGGTTCTCTGACTTTAGGTCCTAGGAATCTTAGATTCAAATCCTGATTCAGTAATTCACTCCATGTCAATTCGTAAGCATCTACTATGTAGCAGGAACTGTGAATGACAGTGAAAGCAGAGACCACTCATGAGGGCAAGGATTTGTGTCTATTTTGTTCACTTACATATTTCATGTGGCTATCACAGTGCGTACATAGTAGGTGCTCAACCATATTCGATGAATAAATGGATGAAATAATTCCATGGATCTGTGATTCCTAAATACAAAGAATACCAGGATGTTGTGAAAACACATAATAGGGAAACATGGCATTGTTTCAGAGAAAGCTTCCTGAGTGAATGATTAAATGAGTTAATATATGTAGAGTTCCTAGAACAATGTTTGGCAGAGACATTTGTTGAATGGATGCATGTATATTTCAGGCAAGACTTGAAAAATGAGGAATTGTCACTGTCTTCAGCTGCTCAGGCTGCTATAACAAAATACCACAGGCAGGAGGCGCCTGGGTGGCCCAGTACCTTAAGGGCTGACTCTTGATTTTGGCTCAGGTCGTGATCTGGAGGTCATGAGATTGAGCCCTGCATCAGGCTCAGCACTGAGGGTGGAGCCTGCTTGGGATTCTCTCTCTCCCTCTCCTTTTGCTCCTCCCCCACTCCTGCGCTCTCTCTGTCTCTCACTCTCTCTCAAAATAAATAAATAAACTTAAAAAAAAAAAAAAAAACCTCAGGTGGGATGGCTTGAATAAGTGAAATGTATTTTTCCACAGTTCTGGAGTCTAGAAGTTTAAGATCAAGGTGCCACCAACATTGGTTTCTGGTGAGGCTTCTCTTCCTGGCTTGTAGATGTCCACCTTTTCACTGTGTCTTCATATGGCTTCTTCTCCATGTGAGGAGAGGGGAAAGGAGGAGAGAGAGAGAGGTAATATCTGGTATCTCTTCCTTCTGAGGACACCAGTCCTATCAGACTAGGGCCCTACCCTGATGACCTCATTTAACCTTTATTACTCTCATATAGGCCCTCTCTCCAAATACAGTCACCTTGGGGGTTAGGGCTTCCACATATGAATTTGGGGAGGAGGGACACAACTCTGCCTATCAAAGTTCCAGGCAGAGAAGTCTGCACGTACAAAGGCACCGATGTAAGAAGGGTCATACCTTAGAAGAACTAAGCAAAAGCCAGAAGAATTTAATCTTAAAGAGAGAGGAGTGGGGTGTCTGGGTGGCTCAGTTGATTAAGCATCAGGCTTCGGCTCAGGTCATGATCTCACGGTTCACGAGCTCAAGCCCCACATCAAACTCTGTGCTGACAGCTCAGAGCCTGGAGCCTGCTTCAGAATCTGTGTCTCCCTCTCTCTCTGTCCCTCCCCAACTTGTGCTCTCTCTCTCTCTCAAAAATAAATAAACATTAAAAAGAGAGAGAGAAAATTGAGAGAGAGAGAGAGAGAGAGAGAGAGAGAGAGGAGTGGCTGGAGAGGTAAGTAAGGCTGAGTGGGCCATCATAAGGAGTTTGACTTTTGTCCTGCTTATTATGGGAGACATTGTAGGGTTTTAGGGTGGAGAGTGACAGACCAGATTTTTGGTTGGAAAACGTCACCCCAGTGGCAGTGTGGAGGATACATCGGAAGAGGCAAGAGTGGAAACAGAGAGGCAAGTGAAGAGGCTTTTGTAGGCAACCACGGTGACTCAGTCCAAAGTGTAATAGTGGAGATGGAGAGAACAAATTCAGGACAGGTTAAGGAGGCCAGCCTGACCAAGCTTGAGACCGTCCAGATGTGGGGAGAGCTGCCAAGGAAGACCCCAGGTTTCTGGTAAGAGCCCTCATGTTAGTGGGTCTGCGCTTCAGTTCCTCATCTGTAATGTGGGGAGAGGAAGGTGGGGATTTAACGAGTTATATGTGTGACACGCTTGGAACAATGCCTGACACACTGCTCTCGTTATCATCATTATTGTTATTGCTTTGCAGTGTTGAAAACTGGAGACATTTTTTGCTTTTGTACTCAAGAATTATGAATCGATTTGGTCCATTTAAAAAAGAATAATAATTTCTGCCTGCAACCCAACAGGTCTAGTTTCCTAAGCCACCCATGCAGGGGCGCTGCTGTCAGAGCCAACCCAATTTAGTCTTCTGCCATTTCCGGTCTCTGATTTGGGGGAAAGTCAACCGCTCAGAGCCTCGATTTCCCCACCTATGAAGTGGGGCAAAAATCCCTGTTCTGCAGAGACAAAAGGCTGTTTGTATCCTGCACGGCACTGGGAGGGACTGGGTCGGGGTGACAGCCACCTGTCCAAGGTGGGGCTGTGGAAGCAGGTACCAGGTGCGCCCACTGCCTAAGCCTGGCCGGCACGGCGTGACACGTCCCCTCCGCCACACCAGAGGGCGCTGTCGCGGGCTGCAGCGCCGCCCTACCCCGGGGGCGGCGCTCCGTCCCGCCTGAGTCTTTTTCCTCCACGTGCGAACGCGGGATGGCGGCGGCGGCGGCGGCGGCGGTGGGTGTGAGTGAATGGGAGTGGGGGCGCTCCGGCCCGGGGTCCCCGAGCTCAGAGGGAAGCAGCAGTGGGGGCCTTCCCGCCCGGCGGCGTGGCTGACCCCCGCGGCGCTTGTAGGCACAGGACGAGGCGGCGGCGCGCGACGTGCAGCGGCTGCTGGTGCAGTTCCAGGATGAGGGCGGGCAGCTGCTGGGCTCCCCGTTCGACGTGCCCGTGGACATCACCCCGGACAAGCTGCAGCTCGTGTGCAACGCGCTGCTGGCCCAGGTGAGCGGCGGCCCGGGCGGTCCCTCTTTCCTCCCCTCGGCAGGAGGGCCTGCTCTGGGCCGGCCCGCAGGGGACCGGGAGACCCAAGGTCTGGGGTTCGGGGGTCCCAGCGCTTGCCGACACTGGGAGAACCACCCTGGCGCGCGTCCGTGGCAGTGCCACCTACGTCGGGGGACGGTCAGGAGATGTATTTCGTGTGACAGCGCTTTTCGCTTCGACCTGCGAGGTCCACCTGGGAAGAGACCGCGCGTTTTGAACGCATCGGGTACATCGTCAGATTCCGCGACGCAGCTCCTCGTTAATATCCCCTATCTGACAGTGTGGCCCAGAGGCAGTAAATTATTTGTACGATGCTATGTCGTAGGTGGTAG